CTACAAACACTTCTATTCAATACCCATTGTTTCGTGTTCTGTCTTGTGTTGATGAAATTAATACCCTATTAATACCACCTCTTGTTCTGTCTTGTGTTGATGAAATTAATACCCTATTAATGCCACCTCACCCCATCCACCTCACTCAAATGTAGATATAAAATCGGAGATGCGTAAGTTCTATTCAGTTGTGTATTTGTAAACTAAAGTCTTTGAAAATGTAATAAGTTTTACGAAACGCGCTCGTGTCGCGTCAGACTAGAAATAAAAATGAATTTTGGAGAATTGATTTTTGATTTACCTCCAACAGTGAAAAGAAATGTACGAAAGATTGAGAAAATTCGTGTTAGAATTGTTAATCTTAGTTTTTCGGTCATATTTAATAATATATATATATATATATATATATATATATATATATATATATATATATATATATATGTATATGCGAACAAGCCTGAATGGTCCCCAGGACAATATGCAACTGAAAACTCACACCCCAGAAGTGACTCGAACCCATACTCCCAGGAGCAACGCAACTGGTATGTACAAGACGCCTTAATCCACTTGACCATCACGACCGGACATAATGAGGTGATAGCCTAAGCTATTTGAACCACCCCACCGCCGGCACTCGGATAGTAATCTTGGGCATAGCATTTTACCAAATCACCTCATTCTTTGGGGCACACGTGAGGAACACAAATGTGTGTTCATTTGTGTTCATTTGTGTTCCTCACGTGTGCCCCAAAGAATGAGGTGATTTGGTAAAATGCTATGCCCAAGATTACTATCCGAGTGCCGGCGGTGGGGTGGTTCAAATAGCTTAGGCTATCACCTCATTATGTCCGGTCGTGATGGTCAAGTGGATTAAGGCGTCTTGTACATACTAGTTGCGTTGCTCCTGGGAGTATGGGTTCGAGTCACTTCTGGGGTGTGAGTTTTTATATATGTATATATATATATATATATATATATACATATATAAAACGTTTTTATATATGTATATATATATATATATATATATATATATATATATATATATTAAGTTTTGAAAATTAAGTTTTGCTCTGTAACTCGTTCACCAACTCCGCTGCTAGCAGTACACCCCACCACTAGCAGTACTGCTAGTTTGCTCACTGCTAGCAGTACACCCCACTACTAGCAGTACTGCTAGTTTGCTCCTTACTATCAGTACACTCCACTATTAGCAGTTGCTGGTGACAGGATTATATTACCTACTAAATGCTAACAATGTAGTGTGGAAACCTGGAGAGGTCATTAAGTCAATAAGTAGTATATACTCACTAAAAGAAACAAAATGAAATATTCATCTCTGTCTTCTTCCATAGACACTATTTTTTGTTTTTACTTGTAAGCCAAAAACTAATGGGCGAAAGCCCATTAACCCATATAACTAATGGACTAAAGCTACACACTAGTTGGCCAAATAACACACAACTTTTTATGTTCAAAAATAGCCTGGTTAAGTTTTTTTATTGAGGCGAGAAGTTCAAGTAGACGACCTCAACGCCTCGCTGGGTGGCGGAGCTGCGTCCCCATGACTTGACAAGACGCTACCAATAAACACCTTCTCTTCCTCATCTGAGACGTTCATTTAGATATCTTTTACCTAAAGAAAGTACAGTAAATACTTCTGTGTGCTTTGAGAAACTGCAAATTTGGCAGGAGTAGAGCTAAAAGTTTAGGTTGTTTAAATATGATGATTATCTATCAACAGTATTTGGTGTTCTGAATGGATTTCCTACTTATTTCTACTCAAGGTCATTACAATGTGTATAGGTGCATTTATTGACACCAGACATGTAGTCCCGTTTCCTGGTTTCATTTAAATAGCCTGCGTCATGCCGCACCTGGCTGCACGCCGCCCTTGTATCTGGTAGCGATCCCCGAAGTTACCATACTGATGCTCCAAGGAAGTTTAGTCTCATATGAAAACCTGACACAAGAACTTCTGGGGACTATTTCTTATTGTCATCATCCTGGTCTGGTTTCTTGAGTGACTGTCTCGGGTTAGAATGATTGTGTTGGTGTTGAGCTTAGGGTCAATATATAAACCACGAGGGCGTTAGTATGGGCAACATAATAGCTTAGAGGCCAAACTGCTAGTGTACTCTACGCCTTGACTTAGTCAAAGACTAAAGTAAACTCTCATATTTCAAGTGGGGCGTGAGTTGACCCTGACCACTCGATGACACACTCAATACAATCACAAATCACCATGGTAAGCTGTGTGAGGCTAGCCCCAAGCGTCTGGCCTCAAGCTTCAGACAAATAAACATTTTTATTTTATAAGGAAACGATGAAAAAACAGCAAACAAATTTTGTTAGTGTTGATAGATACATTTGTGTGAAATGCTTCCAGGGTTACTGGCCTGCAGGTGCTGTACACCTTCAATGGAAACTGTAGTTACTATGGGTGGAGTGTACACCATATAAACTGTTTTACCCTAAACATTTTCACGTTTTATAATATTGGAGAGCACAACAAAAAGTGAAATTGATAAATTAATAAAGTAACCAAACCTATTCTAGGCCTAAATTAACAATCCTAGACTAAACATAATCAGTCTTAGGCCTGATTTATAACAGATATATGCTATATAAGACCTAGAAAAGTTTGGTTCGGTTGCTGACTTCTTTCTCGACTCTAAAAAATTAGTAACAAAGATCGGGAACTTTTGATCTAACTTGGCAATATCAAAGGAAATTCATTCATCTAGAAAAACGTAATTATTATAAAATATCGATAAAAATTTAAAGTAAATTCTAATGAATTTTATATTTATTTCAACACGGCCTCAAACTATGTTCATACCTTCCTGACGCATTCATTAAAAAATAAGAATTGTCTCAAATATAAGCTAATATTATCATAAATTAGGCGTTTAGGTTCTCTTGGTAATTATTTGTATTTGTAGTACGTGGGTGAAGTATTAACATAGCTGCAATTTGAACAAAGGTCGTCAGTGAAGCACTGTTTGGGAAACATTCGAATGACGTCAGTTGTGAATCGCATGTAAAGCGTTTTTTATTCATAAACCAGCTCGTTCTCATAAACAAAGGCCAAAGGCCATTCCATGCACCCGCCAAACCCCTGTTTATGAATGAAAAACGGTTTACACACGACACCAACTGATGACGTCCAAACACTTCCAGAACAAGTGCTTCGCTGACGATTTGTGTTCGAACTACAACGCTGTAAATGCTTCACCCACGTACTACAAATACAAATAATCCCCAACGGAACCTAAACACCTAAGCTAACCTAACCAATGCCTAAATATGCACAGTATGCTAATATATAACATTAATTTATATTTGAGAAAACTCCTATTTTGAATGAACAGCATGTTAAAATTTATGAATACGTCTTTGGGGTCGACCGTTGGATGGAATGGATTTGGTCTGCGGACGGGTTGCATAAACAGGGAGTTTTGCGAGTGGATTAACTAGAATTTGGCCTTTGTTAATGAGGACAGGTTGTGCACAGAAACAGAAATTTATATTTTGGTTAATGATACAGCAGTTATGGCAAGCAGGATTTTAAATCATATTGCCTCTTCCTTTACATTGGGAAGCTTATGTAAGTTTTCTTTACCAACACTGTTACACAATATGCAAAACCTCTTTTAAAATATTACCTTTAGCAAATAGGAAGTACCTACAACACTCGGTAGTTAAGACAACGACAAACAGTTTCATTAGAATGTATAGTTTTAAAGTGTCATAAATAGAAGCACTATTAAAGTACCACAGGAACAAAAAGCTTTCCCATATTAACGACCGACCAATCACTTGTTAGTAAACAAGTGGAAAAAATTCTTCAAGACTGTGTAGTACAACATAGCTATGAGAAAATATTTATATTTAACAGTTCATATTAATATCTTTTATGACATTTTTTATTCAATTCCTTTGAAGGTGGTGGTAGATGTAATATACATATTTTTGAGGAAGCATTTGACAAGTTTATCATTGAAGAGTTCTCTCAAAAGCAAAAGCGTAAGAACAGAATGATATGCATTAAGATTGTGGGAAGATGTATTATCATGAGGCAAACAACATACAGAAATGTTCTGGGATGGCCTGACGTAACTAATGGCGTTCCGCAGGTTACGCCCCAATTTTCTTTTTTTATTAACATAAGTTATACCGGAAAATGGAATATGGTGTTCATTAAACAATTTGCCAATGCACTAAACTACATTACATTTTGTTTGGAAGCAAATCGACAAATGAAGTTCAGCTTCAGATAGACAATGTTAACATCAGCAACAAAAATGATGGAAAGTTCCTTCGTTTATACATAGACAAGAGACTCAACTTAACACACATACAACACATAACCAAAAAGTCTCAAAAACGGTCGGAATACTTTCTAAAATTAGATATAATGTTCCAAACTCTGCTCTCCTCTCATTATACTACGCGTTAATCTCTCCTTATCTTACATACAGTATCTGTACATGGGGTTCAACCACTGCAAACTACCTCAAGCCCATCATCACCCAGCAAAAATCTGCTATCAGAACAATAACAATCTCTGTTTTCAGACAACACACAGCCCCTCTGTTTAAATCCCCAAACCTGCTAAACATAAACTCACTCCACACATTCTATTGTGCCATTTACTTATACTAAACCTTGTTCATAGATGCAAATCCTGATCAGAAACTCTTCCTTGACAGATGTAATGGAACCCATAATCACCACACCAGAAATAAATATATCTTTGATATCACAGAGTCAAACTAAATCTGTGTAAACACTCTATGCAAATAAAGGGTCTTTACTAGTTACTAAAAAGAATTGGAGCAAATAGTTAGGCGAAGAGAAAAGTGAACATGCAGATGAAAGGGCTTAATAAGGGTATATTAATAAGACCTTCTACATATTGATGGGTGACATATTGAAGGGTATACGTGGATAAACTAGTATAAATGGGGGATAACATTAGGGTATATTTAAAAAACATATAAGTTTATCATTTATTTGGGAATTATATGGACAAATTCGAGGGTGTGAACATTGTGCTATTTTCCTTGCTTCTCAGGTACAGACCTTCTGCAGCTTATTCCATTTTCAGAGTGGTCGTTAATAATTTGTTCAACATGGGTGTAAATATATAGGATATATTGTATGGTTCCCCCAAAAGGCCTTCTGCAATTTCATTTTTAAGTTTAGTATGCGATCTTTAAACTAGAAATAATTAGTCTTTGAAAATGGAAATAATTCTGAAAATGGGATTAAATATGTAATTATGGAAAACGGGACTTTTTGAGGGAAGATAAAGACTGGCTGGCTAGTAACACTATTGAACATTAGGGATGACTCGATCCACACATGTCACCGAGGTAACTAAATTTAGGGATGACAGGAGGGGCCATTTAATCTCCATGGGAAAAATAGTAGGAGACAGAAGGGAGCCGTTTAATCTCCACAGGAAAAATAGTAGGAGACAGAAGGAAGCCGTTTAATCTCCACAGGAAAAATTTAGGGGCCAGAAATGAAGCGTCGCCGAAGTTGATGGAAAAATTAGTGGGGCCAGAAACGAAACGTCGTCGAGATAACTAAAAAAATGACCCAAATGAGAACAGTGTCACGAGGTAGCTAAAAATGACCCGGGCGGGAATGAAGCTTTGCCTTTCATGGAAAAAATAAAAAGACAGAAGCGAAGCGTTGCCTTTCGTGGAAACAAATTAGGAGACATAAGCGGAGCGTCGCATTTTATGGAGATAATAAGGAGACAGAAGCGAAGCATCACATTTCATGGAAAAGAATAAGGTGACTGTAGCGAAGTGTCGCAAAAAAACAAAACGCTTCGTTCTTGTCTCCTTTTATACTACTAACAACTAATGATGGTAAGGCTGTCGACGACTCCTGATGTCGAGGTTGTTGATAACTGGTGATGTTTAGGTTGTTGACATTTGGTGATGTTCAGGTTGTTGACGACTGGTGATGGTATTAGTGATGTTGAGGGTGTCTATGACTGGTGATGTTAAGGTATAGTCGACGACTGGTGATGTTTTGGCTATTGGTGACTGATGATGTTTAGGCTATTGGCAACTGATTTTGTTCCGATTGCCGACGACAGTTGATGTTCAGGTTGTTGGTGACTGAAATGTTCAGGGTGTGGTCAATTAGTGATGTTCAGGTTGTTGGCGACTACTGATGTTGAGGTTGTGGTCAACTGGTGCATACTGAGGTTGCTGACAACTGTTAAAAGTAAAGTAGTTGGCGACTGATGAGGTTGTCCACGACTGTAGATGTTAAATGCATCGACCACTGGTGCTGTTGAGGTTGTCGATGACTGATGTTGAGGTTATCTGTAACTAGAGATGTTGAAGCTCTCTATAACTGAAGACGTTGAGGCTGTCGGTGCAAGGACATGCTTAACGTTGTCGACGATTAGTGATGTTAAATTTGTCGACATTTGGAGATGTATAGGCTGTCGACGACTGGTGATGCTGAGGTTGTCGATGACTGATGTTGAGGTTGATTATTACTGGAGATGTTGAGGTTGTCGACCACTGGAGACATTGTGGTTGCTGGCGAAATGCGATGTTGATGCTGTCGACGACTGATTTAAATGTTGAAAGTTTCAATGACTGGTGATGTTAAAGCTGCCAGTGACTAGTAACGTTGAGATCGGCGGCTAGAAATGTTGAGGAGGTCGACGACTAGTAGCCATGATTTCCTGGAAATAAATAAACATAAACAAGAAAACAGCTTAAAAAATTGAACTGCGGCAGTCGTAAAGTCCTGGTAATTACATTATTTATAAAACAACAGAGAAAAGACGTTCGGTAATGTGATCAATGTTACTAATGAAATATAAAATAATGAATAAATATTCGATAATTGTGACTTACTTTCCAGCCGCTGCCGCCGTTAAACCTGCTGTCAGTAAGTTCCACCACCGCGACCATGATCATTATTCCTCTCACTATATCACCTACACATATCATCACCGCCGATGCAATTACCACGTCCAAGGGCCCGTCCACCATCAGTTTCACCGCCACTTCAAAATCTACCACCACCTCTAAGTCCGCCTCATCCTCCCAAGTCAACCACAGTCTCCAAGTACGCTATCAATTTCATGTTCGCCACTACTTTAAAGTTCGACAGCAACTTAAAGTCCGACACCGCCTTAATGTGTGACACCATCTTAAAGTCTGACACCACCTAGAACTCCAGCACCAGTTCCAGCCCTGACATCAATTCCAAGTCCAGCACCAACGCCAAGCTTGTCATCACCGCCATGCCTGGCACCAACTTCAAGTCCAACATCACCCCCAAGATTAGCACCAACTCCAAGCCTGTCACCAGCTCCAAATAGGACATCACCTCCAGGTCTGGCACTACCTCCATATCAGTCCGATATCACCTCCAGGCCTTGCACAACTCCAAGTCCGACAACGTCTCAATCTCCGGCACGAGCTCGTAGCCTGCCGTCAAGTCAGACATTACCTCCAAATCCGGCACTAGTTCCAAGTCCGACACCAAAGCCAAGTCCGACATCACCTCCAACTCCGGCACCAGCTCCAAGCCTGCCACCACTTCCAAGTCCGATATCACCTCCAAGACTAGCACCACTTCCAAGTCCGACATCACCTCCAAGCTTGGCTCCCCCACCAAGTCCGACACCACCTCCAGGCTTGGCACCACCACCAAGTCCGACATCATCTCCAGCCTTAGCACCACCTCCAAGTCCGACATCACCTCCAGGTTTGGCACCACCTCCATGTCCGACATCACCTCCAGCCTTAGCACCACCTCCAAGTCCGATATCACCTCCAGGCTTGGCACCACCTCCAAGTCCGACATCACCTCCAGACTTTGCACCACCTCCAAGTCCGACATCACCTCCAGGCTTGGCACTACCTCCAAGTCCGACATCACCTCCAAGACTAGCACCACCTCCAAGTCCGACATCACCTCCAGACTTTGCACCACCTCCAAGTCCGACATCACCTCCAGACTTGGCACCACTTCCAAGTTCGACATCACCTCCGGCCTTGGCATCACCTTCAAGTCCGACAGCACCTCCAAGACTAGCACCACCTCCAAGTCCGACATCATCTCCAGACTTGGCACCACCTCCAAGTCCAACATCACCTCCAAGACTAGCACCACCTCTAAGTCCGACATCACCTCCAGACTTGGCACCACCTCCAAGTCCGACATCACCTCCAAGACTAGCACCACTTCCAGGTCCGACAACACCTCCAGGCTTGGTGCCACCATCAAGTCCGACATCACCTCCAGGCTTGGCACCACCTACAAGTCCGACATCACCTCCAGACTTGGCACCACCTCCAAGTCCGACATCACCTCCAAGACTAGCACCCCCTCCAAGTCCGACAACACCTCCAGGCTTGGCGCCACCATCAAGTCCGACATCACCTCTAGGCTTGGCACCACCTACAAGTCCGACATCACCACCAGATCTGCCACCACCTCCAAGTCCGACATCACCTCCAAGCCTGCCACCACCTCCAAGTCCGACATCACCTCCAAGCTCGGCACTATCTCCAGGTCCGACATCACCTCCAAGCCTGCCACCACCTCCAAGTCCGACATCACCTCCAAGCCTGCCACCACCTCCAAGTCCGACATCACCTCCAAACCTGCCACCACCTCCAAGCCTGCCACCAACTCCAAGTCCGACATCACCTCCAAGCCTGCCACCACCTCCAAGCCTGCCACCAACTCCAAGTCCGACATCATCTCCAAGCCTGCCACCACCTCCAAGTCCGACATCACCTCCAAGCTCGGCACTATCTCCAGGTCCGACATCACCTCCATGCCTGCCACCACCTCCAAGTCCGACATCACCTCCAAGCCTGCCACCACCTCCAAGTCCGACATCACCTCCAAGCCTGCCACCACCTCCAAGTCCGACATCACCTCCAAGCCTGCCACCACCTCCAAGCCTGCCACCAACTCCAAGTCCGACATCACCTCCAAGCCTGCCACCACCTCCAAGTCCGACATCACCTCCAAGCTCGGCACTATCTCCAGGTCCGACATCACCTCCAAGCCTGCCACCACCTCCAAGTCCGACATCACCTCCAAGCCTGCCACCACCTCCAAGTCCGACATCACCTCCAAGCCTGCCACCACCTCCAAGTCCGACATCACCTCCAAGCCTGCCACCACCTCCAAGCCTGCCACCAACTCCAAGTCCGACATCACCTCCAAGCCTGCCACCACCTCCAAGTCCGACATCACCTCCAAGCTCGGCACTATCTCCAGGTCCGACATCACCTCCAAGCCTGCCACCACCTCCAAGTCCGACATCACCTCCAAGCCTGCCACCACCTCCAAGTCCGACATCACCTCCAAGCCTGCCACCACCTCCAAACCTGCCACCAACTCCATGTCCGACATCACCTCCAAGCCTGCCACCACCTCCAAGTCCGACATCACCTCCAAGCTCGGCACTATCTCCAGGTCCGACATCACCTCCAAGCCTGCCACCACCTCCAAGTCCGACATCACCTCCAAGCCTGCCACCACCTCCAAGTCCGACATCACCTCCAAGCCTGCCACCACCTCCAAGTCCGACATCACCTCCAAGCCTGCCACCACCTCCAAGTCCGACATCACCTCCAAGCCTGCCACCACCTCCAAGTCCAACATCACCTCCAAGCCTGCCACCAACTCCAAGTCCGACATCACCTCCAAGCCTGCCACCACCTCCAAGCCTGCCACCAACTCCAAGTCCGACATCACCTCCAAGCCTGCCACCAACTCCAAGTCCGACATCACCTCCAAGCCTGCCACCACCTCCAAGCCTGCCACCAACTCCAAGTCCTACATCACCTCCAAGCCTGCCACCAACTCCAAGTCCGACATCACTTCCAAGCCTGCCACCAACTCCATGTCCGACATCACCTCCAAGCCTGCCACCAACTCCAAGTCCGACATCACCTCCTGATCTGGCACCAGCTCCAAGTCCAACATTATCTCCAAGATTAGCACCAACTCCAAGTCCGACACCGCCTCCAGGCCTGCCATAATCAAAATGTCCGACACCTCCTCCATGTCTGACATCACCTTGAGACCAGCTATAACCTCCATATCTGACACCCCCTCTATGCCCAACACCCCCTCCATGCCCAACACCAACTCCATGCCCAACACCAACTCCATGCCCAGCACCAACTCCATGCCCAGCACCAACTCCATGCCCAGCACCAACTCCATGCCCAGCACCAACTCCATGCCCAGCACCAACTCCATGCCCAGCACCAACGTCAAGTCCGGCACCAACGTCAAGTCCGGCACCAATTCCAAGCCTTGCACGGCCTCCAAGACCGCCGGTTACATCTGCAATAAAAAAAAGTGGATTAGCAAATAATGTCCTGTATTAGTTAAGCCAAGGAAAATACTGGGGCTTGAAGCCTCCAAGATGGCCAACGTTTAATGAGATCACTGGACACTACACGTAAAACATCATTCTACACTACACATCTAACATTAATATACACTAAATGTCAAACATCACTCCAAACTACACGTCAAACATCACTCCAAACTACACGTCAAACATCACTCCAAACTACACGTCAAACATCACTCCAAACTACACGTCAAACATCACTCAAAACTACACGTCAAACATCACTCCAAACTACACGTCAAACATCACTCTACACTACACGTCAAACATCACTCTACACTACACGTCAACCATCACTCTACACTACACGTCAACCATCATTCTACACTACACGTCAAACATCACTCTACACTACACGTCAAACATCACTCTACACTACACGTCAAACATCACTCTACACTACACGTCAACCATCATTCTACACTACACGTCAAACATCACTCTACACTACACGTCAAACATCACTCCAAACTACACGTCAAACATCACTCTACACTACACGTCAACCATCATTCTACACTACACGTCAACCATCATTCTACACTACACGTCAACCATCATTCTACACTGTGCATCAGGCATCAGGCATCACTCTTCTCAACACATCAAACACACAACTCTACACTTCATGTTAAACATCTCTCTGAACTACACGTCAAACACCACTTGTTCACTACATGTCTAACATCCCCCTACTCTATACCTGAATTTACCTGAGGTCACTAACACTCGACGAGGACAGGAAGCCGACGGCTTGTCGAAGGTCCCCCACAGACTACACACTAGGTTATCGTTGCCTCCCATTCTTGTTGATCCCTTGACATATTGACTCAGATCGTTTCTTGCTGCCACGTTCAATAGTTTAGCTCTCCATGTATCTGCACCACCATGTAGTTCCCCCTTCTCCCAGTCTATCTTTCCGTGGTTGAAGTCGTCATGATTAAGAGTCTTGAGCCATTCCTGCAGGCAACTGAAGCTGCTCTCTCTATTATATTATTGGTTGCCATGTTGTTCCTATCAAACTCCTGTCTGGGTCTTCTGTCATTTAGGGGAGGGGTGTAAATGACTGCCACTATTATCTTAGGTCCAACAATTGTCATATTTCTTGTTATGTAGTCTCTGAATCCTACACAGCCAGGGATATTCATCTCTTCGAAACTCCAGTCCTTCCTTATCGGCAGGGCCACTCCTGCTCCTCCTCCTCCTCCTCCTCTCCTTTCCCTCTCTTTCCTTACTATATAATAGTCCTGCGGAAGCACTGTATTTGTTATGATACCTGGGAATGAGTGACCACAGCGTCCTGACATTTGAGTATCTGGTGGAGGTAGGTGATAACCTGTCCAAGTAAGGGATCGGAAAGGAAAAGCCTGGCTTACCAAAGAGGAAACTATGATGAGATGAGGAACTTCCTAATGGGAAGTTCGTATATGAATGGAACGTTGTGTCAAAATTTTAAAGCAATTGGTGAAGACCTTTCAAAGATTACCGCGTGTGTTGCTCCTACGTCCAACAGATGGCGCTGTTTTTCAAAAAAGGCTTGCTTTTTCCAGTCACAGGTGAGGCATGTATATAGCAAGTATATAAAAACACGGGCCTATTCAAATGCAATGATGTGACAAAATTTTAAAGCAATCGGTAAAGAGGTTTCGAAGATTTCCCTCACATGAAAAATGCATGAAAAACACAGTTTTTCAAAAAAACATGTATTTTTCCGTCACAGACATGACATTTATATAGTATGTATATAAAAAAAAACTCGGATGCAAATGAAACATTGTGTGAAAATTTCAAAACAATCGGTAAAGAACTTTCGAAGATTAGCGATTTTTTATTTATATAGACATGCAAGAGTTCTTACATTCACGTGCAGCCACTAGCACACATAGCGTTTCGGACAAGTCCTTAAACCTAATTATCACATACACACATCCCAAGAAGCATCCCGTAGCAGCTGTCTAACTCCCAGGGACTTATTTACTACGAGGTAAATAGATGCATCAGGGTGAAAGAAATTCTTCCATTTGTTTGTAAACATTTCTTTCCGCCTCCACCAGGGATCGAACCCGGACCCTTAAGACAAAGATCCCCAAGCGCTGTCCACTCAGCTGTTAGGCCCCAAATGTCAAACACAACTCTACACTACACGCCAAACATCACTCTTCACTACATATCAAACGTCACTCTTCATTACACGTCAAACATTACTCTTCACTACACGTCAAACATCACCATACACTACACGTCAAACATCACCATACACTACACGTCAAACATCACCCTACACTACACGTCAAACATCACCATACACTACACGTCAAACATCACCCTACACTACACGTCAAACATCACCCTACACTACACTACACGTCAAACATCACCCTACACTACACTACACGACAAACATCACCCTACACTACACGACAAACATCACCCCAACATTACACAGCTTGCATCAATCCACACTACATGTCGAACATCACCCTACTCTATACATAGTCATACATTATTAAGAATAAGATATAATAACAAATTACTTAATTTAAAACCACAAATATATAATATGCAAAAATGTTTAAAGACACCTAATACGTGTCAGAATTTACTCTTTTGTCATATTCGATCGGATTTCACTTTGACAATACCAATCTTTTTCAGTTCCACTCACACAGATGAAGAAAATCATCACGACTCACCATGCAGATGGCTTGATGTCACAGAAAAAAGGAGGGCGGCCAAGACCAGGACAGCGATGGTGTGCGGCTTCTGTTGGGGAGAGAGAGAGAATTATCATGGAAAGCACGGACGTTTGTGGACTTTTTAAATGGTGCCACGAAGGTAATACTAAGACTATTGCCATAAATACGTATTTCTGACGTTAATAAAACCTTTAGAGATAATTAAAAACATATATTCTTGAGACACAGTTTTTTTAAATTTATGTAAAAATTAAAAAATAATAGTGAACGCTATGGAAATATAATGTTTTCATGCTCTATATTTAAAAAAAAACAATTTTCAGTCAACATATTTTTTTTTAATTTATGTAAACCTATCCAATTTATGTTCTTATAACATAACTATAACATTGATATGACGTCAATATTTACACATCACTACGTTATTATGATGTTCTATTAACGTATAATTACTGTATGAAAACCAGAATATTATATTGAACTTTATGTTTTAAACCTTGTAAAATTATCGTAAAACTTGGAATAAGACAGTAAGCATGCGTTATTTATGAAAATATAGAAACAAATCAACAAAAACCTTTTAACGTAAAAACATAAACATAAAATATATTAACTGCATGCATGGGAGTTAATTGAAACTCTGTAACATTGCAAACATGAACCTTGAGGTACAAACGTAGTGTATTTACCCATGAAGTAATTTCCTAAATCTACAGGAAAGTGAGAGAGAGAAACATCTCTCTCTCTCGAGAGAGAGAGAGAGAGGAGAGAAAGAAAAGAGAAAAGAGAGAGTGAAAGAGAGAAGAGAAGAGAGAGAGAGAGAAAAAGAGAGAGAGAAAGAAGGAGAGGGAAAAAGAAGAAAAAGGGAGAGAATAGAGAGATGATGGTACACTTTTAGTACTGAGAAAACTCTCAGTACTGAAAGTGTAAGTTTACTTCCTACTATAAGTCGCACTTCCTACTACAGGAGAGGAAGAAAAGTCATTGTAGTAAGGGCCAATTGTGCCCTCTTACTGCAGACAAATAGTTTATGAATGAATCCATTATTAGACCAGAGTGTCAAACACAGATCCACTTTAACAACAAAATTCTGCTCTCTATTCCCCAAACGATAACAGCACTTTCATATTAGGACATATTACTGAGACGAATATACAGGCTGGACCAGAAGTCTCCATAGACAAATAAATAAATAAATAAATATGTTTATTCAGGTAAGGTACATACATACAAGTAATGTTACATTAATGGATCGATATATAGATAGAGCTAGTACATACAATGCCTAAAGCCACTATTACGCAATGCGTTTCGGGCAGAAACAAGACAGGGGAATATCTCATTATGGTATGTGCGTGCGTCCATGTTGGATCAGCAGTTTGCGTGTTTCTGGATTGGTCGTCGTGGTGTTGTCGAATGGCCTCCGAAGGTCCTCACAACTCAGCCCACTCTATTTTTAACTGTAGAGATACCTGGATGTACCATGAAATGGTACGAAACATGATTTACCTAATGGCACACATTCGAAATGCTATTTTGTGAATGAAACCTGATGTGTTAACGCGAAAAGAAAGCACCAAACCGGGAAGGCTATGTAGCATCATCATATGTGCGGGATATTCTAAAGGCACTAAATATCACAAAGGATGCTAATACGAGAACAAAAGCGCATAAGGCGAACAATATCAAAGGCATCTGATTTACCAAGGATTCTATCGAGAGACAAGTGACCGCGAGGGACAGTCGAGAAGCAAGACGCACGCACGTCCTGGATGTCAGGACATTCAACAAGGATAAATACATACGTATGAGGGACAATGCAGTTTGGACAATAAGGAGCAGGGTAGCGCTCCATTAAGTGTCTGTGAGTTAAACGTGTATGGCCAATACATAACCTCGCCAGAGCCGTTTCTCACCGCCGGTTGCGGTGGTAGGAGGACGGCCATGGAAACACACCACCCTTAAGGACACACCAGTATGACTGGGAACCCAACAAAACTCCAATGTCTTAAAATTACTGGACATAAGTCACAGCCAATGTTGAATTTCGCCTATCACAGGATGGACTGGATTAAAGGACTCCTTAGCCATGAGGGCACTGCGAGAGTCAACTACAACAACAAAGGAAGATTGACAGCAAAAAAAAAGGGAGAAGAGAGAAAGGAAGGAAAGAAGACCATTGAGGGCAGCCAGGAAAAAAAGAGTAGTGCTCAGAACACTACCTTAGAGTACACCTTCGTATTGCCGAAAAAGAGGCAGCGAGAGTGCTACGATGTCTCACTCTAAAGGGACGACTAAAGAGGAAGCTTTGTAGAAAGAGAGGGAGATTACCACGAGGGCCAAACGAACGGAGTTTGGGCAGAATATGGTACCTCCAAGTGGTATCATACACTTTTACCAGGTCAAAAGAAACAGCAACAACGGAGATCTTCGCAGCAAAGGCAGTACGAATATAGACCTCCAAGTTCACCAAGACATCAGTCGTGCTACGATACTTGTGAAAGCCAAATTGAGAAGGGGAGAGGTGGTGATAGTGTTCCAAGAACCACATCAGACGGACATTAACCATACGTTCAAAGAGTTTGCAAACACAACTCGAGAGGGCAATTAGGGCAGAAGTCCTTAGGGGATGACCCGAGAGAACCTGGTTTCCGAATAGGAAGAACAACTACCTCAAGCCAGTCCTCAGGGACTGACGACGACTTCCAAATACGATTATACATATTCAGTAAATATTGAAACGTGCATGGAGGGCTTTAAAAGAACAAGGCTTTAAACGAACAGAGCATGACTGGAAGAGTAGCACCCATACGTTTCAAAATAATTTCAACCATGTAGAGCATATTTTGTGAAGAGCTTCACATTGATAATAGGCATTAATTTTCTCTGTGCATGGAGACTTTTGGACCACCTGGGCGTTTAACAAGATATGTCCACGCCTATTCAAAGTGCTTACAATAATATAACTCAGTGAAACTGGACGTACTAGTTTCTAGTACTCGTACTAGTTTCTAGTACTAGTACGTACTAGTTTCTAGTACTAGTACTAGTTTCTAGTATTAGTACTAGTTTCTAGTACTAGTACGTACTAGTTTCTAGTACTAGTACGTACTAGTTTCTAGTACTAGTACGTACTAGTTTCTAGTACTAGTACTAAACCGTACTAGTTTCACCATACTTTGGTGAAACTGGCCGTACATTTAATGACAGACTTAGAGAACACAAAAGAAGTGTTAAGTCTGCAGACACAAGCAATGCTCTCTTCTGTCATGTTAGGGATTCTAATCATCCTATTGATTGGTCTTCCTCCAAAATAATCTTTCCTGCCTCTACTCTACACAGACGCCGTCTTGTTGAATCGCCTTTAATACACAACGTACCCAACATGAACTTGAATCCTGGCTTTGTTGCAGTTGACTTTTCCCTTTCACAGTATATACTCATATGCTCTAAACATTCTAACAAACGTGACCAAGCATAAGCTTACCCTTCCATTTATATTTTTTTTCTCTTTCCTTCTTCTTTCCCTTATTTTCTCTTACGATCCCTTGCTTATTCCTATTACTATCCCCTTTTTATTGGGTGGGTATAAATAGGAGCTGCCTTGTATAGGCCAATAGGCCCTCTGCAGTTTCCTTTGTTCTTATGTTCTTATTCCTATTACTATCCCCTTTATCACACCTTTCCTTTCGTACCTTTTCCCTTGCTTTTTCTCCCTCTAAGATTTTCTTCTCCTCACCTCTCTCTTGCCTATTTATTGCCTCGCCTTCTCACCTCATCCATTCCCTTCTCTAGGCACACACAGCACCGCTCCTGTGCCAGGTAAGTCCACTACGGGTTCACCATAGTCCGTGCTACTTGCCCCGCTCCTATGCCAGGTAAGCTACGGGCTCACCATAGCCCGTGCTACTTGGAATCTGTTCCGAGTAGCTTAATCTATAACAACAACAATATCCCCTCATCCAAAATATCAGAGTAACAAGGTTATCGCGAATAACCGAACTCAATTACGGGCTCACCATAGCCCGTGCTACATGAACATTTCGTTCTGAGTAGCTAAATCTAAAACAACAACAACACAATCCCCTCATCCACAAGTTACAGCCCCGCTCCTGTGCTAGGTAAGCCTACTACGGGCTCACCATAGCCCCGTGCTACTTGGAACTTTTTGTTCCAAAGTAGCGAATCTTAAACAACAACAACATCCCCTCATCACAATCGACTTGAGAATGGTCCAGGACGGACCGAAACGTCGTCGTACCTTCACTTTCTAGTGTGTGGTTTGGTCAACATATTTCAGCCATGTTATTGTGACTCCTCGACTGCATATATCAGTTTGCAGACGAGGAGTCACAATAACGTGGCTGAAATATGTTGACCAAACCACACACTAGAAAGTGAAGGGACGACGACGTTTCGGTCCGTCCTGGACCATTCTCAAGTCGATTGAGGATTTTCACAATCGACTTGAGAATGGTGCAGGACGGACCGAAACGTCGTCGTCCTGGACCATTCTCAAGAATGGTCCAGGACGGAATTGTAACAAACTGACTTAACAAACAAACGAATGTAACAAACTGAGTTAACCATTTGGTTAACTCAGTTTGTTACATTCTATAACTTTTTTAACACTAGTGGCTGCTTACCATAGTAGATGAGCTAAGGGAGGACACTATGTGCCCTGGAACTGCTACAGTGGCTACTGGTGCTGGAGCTGGCGTCCACCGGTATATATACTGCAACCAGCTAAACAGTGGTGACATCACATTATTAAACACTTCCAAGGCAAAGAGAAATGTGGGTACAGAGAGATGAAGCACGAAGAGGTAAGTGGGATAGATGCTGTCAATAAACATAGAGATGAGAGGTTATGATAAACAAGAAGAGGCCAAGTGAAAGAAGCTTAAGCACAGGAGAAGTATGTAAACACAAGGATGACACACAGTAACTTAAGAGAGCAATTTTACAGATTATTCAAAATAAATATAATATACGCTTTCTAGAGTTTAAATATCGTGCAGCTCTCCTTAATAAAAAGTATAATTAGTTCTTTATCTTATTTTGAATGCTGCTTTCAAGCAGTAATTTTCTAATGAATTCCATAATATCGTGTACGATAAATTATGAATTTATATAATCTTTGGAATTTTATGCATTTTAATAAGTCTTGCATTGTGTTTCAAATATTATTGAAATGAGGTCAGTTATCATAATTTTATTGCAACATTGTACACTACAAGCAGCCCATCCTCGAATATATTGGGAGGTAAAGGTAACGGCACAATTAAGTGTATTGATGTACCTTGCAGACAGTTAGAAATGTACTTATTATATTTAGTATTAAAACGTACTGTCTAAACCACGACCTAACCTAACCTTCTTAGTGTATTTTATTGCTTCTTAATTACAATTAATACTTAACCTATAGCTATATTGATATTACAGTTTCATAAAACTAATAAAACCAAACTAAAATCTTTCAATAAAGTAACTCAGGATATTTTCAAATTTTGTATAAAACCTCTATTGTTGAATAAAACTGAAAAAGAAATTCTTTATATTTAAAACTTTTTGTATATAGAACTGAACATGAAAACTTCATCCTAAAATTTTGAGTGTCTTAACAGAAAACGATGAGAATATATAGGGAGGTAAATGTAACGGCACCATTAAGTGTATGTATGTATTTTATATTGGTTTCTAATTGTGTATGTCAGCTGTCTCCCCTTCTTTATGAACTGGCGTCATTCCTGCATTTTTAAGGATATCAGGGAATGTATGATACTCTAAAGATTTGTTGAATAGCAGAGCTATGGGTGGTGCAAGGGCATGGGAGGCACTCTTGTATTCCATAGATGGTATTTCATTAATGTTCTCAGCTTTGTTTTAAGTGATTGAATTATGGATATAATGTCTGTCGGGCTGACTGGTAAAAGGAGTAGAGTTAGGATAGCTGCCTGTAAGATATGTAGTAACATGTGTCTGGGTCTTTAGGATTTTTCAGGTAAGGTTAGCACCAATTGATGAAAAGAAGCTTTTGAATTCTATTGGAATTCAATTATCAAACTTGAACTTCATTTTCTGTTGACAATGATTATTATCAATTAAATCTGTTAATAAATATAATTGCTTAATTAAACTCAGCTGTTTGATCGCACAGTAATCCGACCAGGATGTCGTAATCGAGTGAACTTTAAATATTTGTTGTATTACGTGTTTTTTCAACATTTGTGAATAACGTGACTATTGCAGGCAAATGGTCACGGCGAGATTTAATCTCCAGTCATACCAATAGTGATTAACTGAACCTGTTGTTCTTCCAGAAACTTGAGTTTTATTCAAACAATTCAGTGAAGATAACATATCCTAACTGGAGAAGAGCTTAAAAAGTTAATTTTACTCAAATGATTTATTTAAAATGCTGGAATAATCCATAAGAATATATATACATCTTTTTTTTATTAACACATTTAGATACATCTGCATTTGTGCAGCTACCTCTAGGCCATACGAAGGGGGAGTACAAAGTGTGTCAAAAAACTGGCTACGGTCTCAAAACTTGATACATTAATTGTAAGTGACTCCTTATCATCCTTAAATGCTCTCAACTCTAAGACATAACTGGAACATGCTCGTGTCCGAAGCTAGACACAAATACAACAAAATTATTAAGGATGGTAACAGAGTCCATTTCATGTGGTCTCCATCTCATGTTGGGCTCCGAATGCATGATAGAGCTGATAAGTTAGCCAAAGAATCTGCCTTTAAAGGAGCCGTTGAGTGTAACCTTGGATTGTCAATGAGCAATCTGAGAGCAGCAGTACACCGAGAACTTCAACAAGATCTTGTAGATCTGAGGCAAAGTGAAATTGACACCAGTAATTCCATCTATCATCATAATATCATGCAAGAGGAGCCACACATCTATGGATCATCCAATAAAATCAGCAGACTTCTTGATGTTACTACTGCTCGGCTTAGACTCGGTTACAAGTATCTCTGGGAATTCTCATTATCTGTTATGTAGACCTGACCAAATGTAAACTGTCAACAAAATTATTCGCACATCCTCCATCACTATGTGATGGAGTGCGAAAAGATACGTGAATTTAGAGACAATTCTATAACCAATGTTCCAGCGATGTGTCAATATTTCATTTAAAATGTTCTGCTACCAGAAATTTTAGTCAAATATCCCCAGTTTGCTAACTGTAGGTAGTAACTAAGTGATTGTAACCTATTCACCGCTGCCCACTGGATGGGGGGCGGTGTGCAGGACAAACATATAAATTTTGTCACTAGCTCTCCACATATATCAGTTGTTTAATTTAGAAGCTGTACTTGAGGTCGATCTCGAACCCATTGTTGATGTGATGACTTATATTGAATTTTGTAACTAGCTCATCAAGATTGTAACTTGCTTAGCTAAATGAATTGTGGGGTTCAGTCCCTGAGCCCATTATGTGCCTCTGTAACCCTTTCCACTACCGCCCACAAGATGGGTATGGGGTGCATAATAAATGAACTAAACTAACTGATGCTAAAAATTACCATCACACGGTCCTCTAATTACCACAAGTTTCACTAAGCTTCTTGGCAATACGTTAGTAATGAATAAATATGATATATTTACTCATGAATAGTAATGAATAAATATGATATATTTACTCATTACAATGTTGGTGCTGAATGTACAACACGAAAAAACAATTTTAATCTGAAAAAGTATCTTTTTATAAAGAAATTAGACGAAAAGAAAGAGCTGGTGACGCCAAATCAAGTCAACGATCCAAGCGTCGGTTAGGTTAGAGATTCAGATTCAGATTCAGATGTTTATTCAGGTAAGGTATATACATACAAGTGATGTTACATTAATGGATTGATATATAGATAGAGCTAGTACATACAATGCCTAAAGCCACTATTACGCAATGCGTTTCGGGCAAGAAAAACATTAATATCTAGAACTTAATACTAATTGAGCATAAAGAATAAAAGATGTTGAGAACAAATACAAATAAAGATAAAAAAAAGGGGGAACATGACTGAAAAAGCAGCACAAATACAATAGGTTGACAAACAGTGTTGATTACAAAAAAGAAAAAAAAAAAAAAGAAAATAACAGACATGGGTTGACAATAGAGGAGTGAGGTAGATTACAGGGAATTTATTAGGTAGTGTTTAGTTTTTATCTTAAACTGGTTGAGAGAGGTACAGTCTTTAACATGGTTGGGAAGGTCATTCCACATTCTGGGCCCCTTGATTTGCAGAGCATTTCTAGTTTGATTAAGACGTACTCTAGGAATATCAAAACTGTATTTATTTCTGGTGTGGTGCTCATGGGTTCTGTTACAACCTTCTATGAAGCTTTTAAGATCAGGATTGGCATTATAGTTTAGCGTTTTATATATGTATAATACACATGAGAGAATGTGCAGTGACTTAATATCTAACATATTAAGAGATTTGAGTAGGGGTACCGAGTGATGTCTGGGGCCAGAGTTGGATATTGTTCTAATAGCGGCTTTGTGTTGGGTAATTAGAGGACGTAAGTGATTTTGGGTAGTAGAACCCCAAGCACAAATACCATAGTTGAGATAAGGATAGATAAGGGAGTAATAGAGAGTCACCAGAGCAGGGCGTGGTACATAATATCTGATAGGTTAGGTTTGGTTTGGTTAGGATAAGATAGGTTAGGTTAGGTCAGCCTAACCTAACATATCATATTTATTCATTACTAACGTATTGCCAGGAAGCTCGGAAAGCTTTGTGAAGCTTGCGGTAATTAGACGGACCCGTGTGGAGCGTTATACACCAGCCAATCAATAGTTTAATTAACATGCATTCATATTAAAAGACATTCAATACCATCTTTACAGGGGGTAAATATGTCATATTTCTCCGTTACTTATGTAATGCTAGAAGGTTTTGGGGTAGCATTGTGTAGGTTAAATATGAACCTTAATTAATATGTTCTATACCATCAGAAATTTCGAAACATACAATATCTTTTCAAATATTTGTCATTAAAGTATATATTCTGAAAATAATCATGTATTTTATTTACCCCAAAATAGAGCACGAATATCATTGTGTCATATCCTGTGATTAGTAGTTTATTTTATTAAATCTGAAATGTTAATTAAAATGGTTTACTAGTTACTGGTACAGTAATTCTGCTTAGAGCTAGCTATACACTACTAATTCCATTTGAATACTATAGTTCTAAAACATCTTTTTATGCACTCAAAAGATCTTGAACTTATCAAGCGAGGAGTGAATGTAAATAATCTTCAAGGAATGAGTATGAGGTGCAAAATAAACTACTAATCACAGGATATGACAATGATATTCGTGCTCTATTTTGGGGTAAATAAAATACATGATTATTTTCAGAATATATACTTTAATGACAAATATTTTAAAAGATATTGTATGTTTCGGAATTTCTGATGGTATAGAACATATTAATTAAGGTTCATATTTAACCTACCCAATGCTACCCTAAAACCTTCTAGTATTACACAAGTTAATTAGTTTTTTTTAAGTTTAGTTCATTTATTATGCACCCAATACCCATCTTGTGGGCGGTATTACACAAGTAACGGAGAAATATGACATATTTACCCCCTATAAAGATGGCGCTCACACAATCAGAGCGGGTCCATGTACTGTATTTACCAATATAGTTACCCAATGCTACCCCGGCCTTCTAGCATTACACAAGTAATGAAAACCTGTGACATATTTACCC